CTGAAGAGCTGAAGTCCTATCTTAGCTCACCACCTCTGTTGACTAAGGCTGTAGATGGAGAGATTCTTTACTTGTACCTGGGGATTTCAGATGAGGCCATTAGTTCGGTTTTGGTAAGAGAGGAAGCTAAGCAACAGAAACCAATCTATTATATCAGCAGTGTGCTGCACGGAGCAGAGCTGAGGTATCCTATAGCTGAGAGAGCAGCTTTAGCAGTTGTCACTTCGGCCAGGAAGTTGAGGCCGTATTTCCAATCACACCCAATTATCGTTCTTACAGATCAACCTCTCAGGCAAATTCTGCAGAAACCAGAATGCTCTGGAAGATTAATTAAGTGGGCAGTAGAACTGGGGGAGTTTGAGATCACGTTTCAGCAGAGATCGACCATCCGAGCTCAAGCACTAGCAGATTTCATTGTCGAATGCACTCCATGTCCCTCCACCTCTACTCCAGAACCCAACGAATGGACCTTATATGTTGACGGAGCATCTAGTAGCAAGGGTTCAGGGGCTGGCGCTCTCTTGATTGGTCCAGAAGGATACCGAAGTGAACATGCCTTGAAATTCAACTTTGATGCGACAAATAACATGGCTGAGTATGAAGCTCTGCTACTTGGTCTACAACTAGCATTAGAGTTGAAAATCAGTGCAATTCAAGTGTACAGTGACTCCCAGCTAGTGGTGAACCAAATCAACTCTATTTGCGAAGTCATTGATCCTGTGATGGGGAAGTATGTAGCCTTGGTGGCCGAGCTGAAGTGCAAATTCCAAAAATTCTGCCTGAGTAAAATCCCCAGACCTGAGAATGAACAGGCAGATTCACTCTCTAAGTTTGCCTCTGATAGCTCTTTAAGCTCCAGATCCGTTTTCGTAGAGGTCTTAGATGAACCCAGCTTCATGAAGCCTCGGGTGATGGAGATCAGCACAAACCCTGACACGCCAAGCTGGACTGATTCCATTGTATCCTTCTTACGAGATGGGATTACACCTGCGGACAGGCAGGAGGCGATGAAATTAAGGAAGAAAGCATCTCGGTATACACTCATTGCTAGAGTTTTGTATAAGAGATCTTTCTCACTCCCTCTTCTACGGTGTTTGAACCCCTACGAAGTTGAATATGCACTTCGGGAGGTGCATAAAAGTGTCTGTGGAAGCCATGTTGGTGCCAGGACTCTGGCTCACAAAGTCTTACGGCAAGGATACTACTGGCCAAACATGTACAAAGATGCCACTTGCTTTGTTCAGAGATGCCCGAAATGTTAATTCTTCGCACATCTGACTCATCAACCAGCAGAAGAACTCACAAACTTGGTAGCACCGTGGCCATTTGCTCAGTGGGGACTGGATCTTTTAGGCCCATTCATGAAAGGGGTTGGTGGTGTAACCCATCTGGTTGTTGGTGTAACCCATCTGGTTGTTGGTGTGGATTATTTCACGAAGTGGGTTGAAGCTCGACCTTTATCGAGTCTTACCTCTAAGAAAGTTGAAGATTTTGTTTTCAGCTCGATCATTTGCAGATATGGGATCCCAAATCAGATTGTGGCTGATAATGGAACTCAATTCAATTGCTCCTCATTTCGAGATTTCTGCTCCAGTTATGGGATCAAGTTACAGTTCACCTCCGTTTACCATCCGGAGTCCAATGGCATGGTTGAATCTGTTAACAAATGCATCCTGGAAGGGATAAGGCCGAGATTGGAGCAGCATAAGGCCAAGTGGGCAGACGAGCTCAATAACGTCCTCTGGGCATACAGAACCACGAGCCGAACTGCCACAGGTACTACATTAAACCAAATCTATTTGATTAATTTCTATATCATTTTACTTCTACTGTTACGCCTTACCTTAGAGCAAATATGCATAATGCATAAAGCGCATTCTAAAGTTATAATTAATTGAAATAGGTGAAACACCCTACCACCTAGCCTTTGGTACCGAAGCAGTCATTCCTGTTGAGATAGGAGTCCCAAGCTTCCCGGTCACCCATTTCGATGAAGAACGAAATGGACAACTGCTTCGGGAAAACCTTGATCTGCTTGTTGAAGTCAGAGAAGAAGCTCGGCTTCAAACTCTTATATACAAGCAGAAACTAGCCAACTTCTACAATAAACGGGTCCGCCCTCAAACATTCAAAGTAGGAGACCTTGTGCTCAGAAAAGCTGGCCTAACGGGGTTTGAAACTCGTTTTGGCAAACTTGCCCCAAATTGGGAAGGCCCTTATGCCGTGGCCGAGGTGCCACATCCTGGTGCTTATATTCTCCAAGACGCTGAAGGAAAGAGAGTTCCTAGAGTCTGGAATGTCAATAACTTGA